AATATGAATCCTTGCAGTCACGAAAGCTTCAAATCTCGAATCAACAGGAGGGGTTCCACCTCTGTAGGCTCCACCCCTTCCCGATGAAGCTCCGCCTCTTTCTTTTTTAGAACCCGTCCCCTTATCACTTCGACCCCACCCCTTCCTCCAGACACAGAGTGAGGTTGGGTAAGGACAGTTCAAAATCAGAATCTGTTTTTTTATTCGAGGGATCCGATGAGATAAGAATCTCTTTTTCACAGATATCCAATCAGGGATACATACATCTTCTAACAAAATCATACAACTAGATGTGAGTGCCTTCATTCCAAAAGTATATAAAAAAACATTCTTCATTTTTGCATCATTATTACTTATGTTTATTTGTAAAAAAAAGAAATGTACGTGTACACAAATAAATATAAATAAAGAAATAGCCACTTTAAAAAGATAGACACGTTAATCACTTTACACTGTCAATTTATATTGTAATTAGAACCATTTGAAACATTTTGTCAGTTTTACAAGTTATACAACAAAGGTAATTCTATTGGGAAACATTAGAAGTCATCTTCGTCTTGAGTGTAAATTAGAGCATTAATAATGAATGACTTGCAGGTTAATCAGACCATGCTTGAAATTCTTTCTCATGCATTCTTTTTTTTGTGACAATACAAATATAATCCTGAAAGATGTGGTCCCTTCGGGAGCTTAACATTAATTCCCTCATATAGCTGAAATTGTAATATTGTGTGTTTACCCTTATTTTCATGTAATATGCCCATCACGAGATGGCACCGGTCAGCGATAACGTCCATGCTTATACTGTTCGTGCATTGCATAGCCATGTCTGTGAGTACAAAATAAGTAATAATTATAATAGATTAAATGCATTTTATAGTGATAGGTTTTTACCCTTTCAACTGGTACAAAGACTGACACCTTTATACAAGGCATCATGTTTGCAATAACCACAACACAAGCAGTCAAAATGCAAACAAAAATAAACAACTCTGATAATTATAATAACATGCACTGTCCTTGAAGTTGATTGGTCCACACCCGAGACAGCTTTTCTTAGAGCCTAGTCTCCATTGGTGTTGGACCAGATGACGCCAAAAGGCGTATTATTATAATTATCAGAGTTGTTTATTTTTGTTCGCATTTTGACTGCTTGTGTTGTGGTTATTGCAAACATGATGCCTTGTATAAAGATGTCAGTCTTTGTACCAGTTGAAAGGGCAAAAACCTATCACTATATTTTGCCACTGGTAAAGGAGATGTCTTATAGTGTAAATGCATTTTAATTGACTACCCTTTGTCTTTCCGCTGCTAAATGAGGGCTTCCTTATGCTGTACAGGTCATCGGGGTGATTCGACCGTACTTCACCACGCTGGTGAGTGCATCTTAGTGAAGCTGGGGAAAATAGGCACGAGAGTGAACATCGCGTAGTCCAACAATAGGGTTTCCTGCACGTGCCTCTCGTGAAAACAGCCCCGCGGCAGCCTATGACACCTAATTGTGCATGGCGCTAGCCCCTTCGAGCACAAGCCAGGCTCAACAGTGCTTAGCTTTTGATGATGTCTGATGAAATCGAGCGCATAACGAGCGATTTTTGTCAGAGGCCTTACAACATTGTGTGCACGCATATCATGCCACCTTTTGTAATATGCTCACAGTGCCTGCGTGTTTAGCATTCGTTCACGTACAAGATGAGGTGTAACCCTTATCCATGTTCCCAGCATTGTGCTTGTCGTTACTTTGTGCAAATTAACATTGCCAGCATGAACTCTCTTCTCTAATGCCCTCCCATTGCGTCTTCTCCCACCATCTCTTTCTTGTGCCTTCTGCCATGCAATTTCCACTTTATTTATTTGATTATTGTATTTGCAGAAATTAAGCAAAATCAAACAAACCTCGACATGAATATATTTATAGACGTGACAGTTGGACTGATTTCATTTACTTAACCAACTGACAGGCACGCGTGTGTTTATTATTTTTTTTAAATCAGAATGTTGGTGTAACTCTTTCAGCACAGTGACTTTTACAGATATACTATTTTGTACAATCATGTCGTGGATACATTTTGAAATTCCGATATTTACAAAAATAACAAAACAGCCTGCTCACTCAACGTGCTCCAACAGTGTGTTAAGGCTATACGGGGGGTCTTTGTCTTTGCATATAGTAAAAGTTGCAAACTTAAATAGAGGCGCATGTAAATGCGTAGTATATGTGGGGGGGGGGGGGGCGCAGTGGTTAAAGCATTGCGCTATGAACCTGAACACACGAGTGTGACCACCAACCGTGGTTTATTCAGTGGCAAGCGATACCTGAACTGATCCATGGCCCCCACCCTTTACTAACATGTGCACTGACTAGGATGGTGAAGTATGGTCAAACATCCCCCATGCCTGACACGGCGTGGGGAGGCTCTCATCCAGCAGTGGACTGAAAACGTGACTCTAAATTGTGATTATCATTTCAGCACCTCCGAATAGTACGGATGGCAATGTACGGTGTGAGAAGTTCAAGATACGTACACACATAGCACATGTACATACATAGCACACGTAAATACATAGCACATGTAAATACATAGCACACGTAAATACATAGCACATGTAAATACATAGCACATGTACATCATGCTCTAAAGGATATTTACAACATTCTAAAGTCTACAGATGAAATTATGGGTGCCATTATGGTGCCATCCGATGCGTTGTTATTATGATGCTGGATGTAATTACCAGCGAAACGTCGTACTACTCAGATTGTAAATGTTGTGGATCCACTCTTCAACACACCGGTGGGCTGAATTTATAACTATTTAGCGTTTTGTTTACAAGACAAATCCCTTACTGATTGGCCGTGTTGGGTGGTGGAGGTTTTCGACACATTTATAGTTACGCGATCTAACCCAAAAACCTTTACTATGGATTATTACGACTATCTAGCAAGTCTGCGCAGTGTTTGCCAATGCATGCGGGAAAGTGGTGAATTTAGCAGGTGAGCGTGAATCGTCCGCATCAATTACGCAGCGAAATACGGGCTTCTTACTCATCCCAAACAGGCAGGATGACGTGAGCGTCACGGGGCAACTGGTAAACGTCAGCGATCTGGGTGAAGAGCACGCGATTACTGAACAAAACGCAAGAGGGCTTCGTAAGTTAATGTCAAGCATTTGTACGTTCATTAATTATTCAAGTATGCGTCCAGCGGTGCTAAACGGTGACAGTAGGGGTCGCTTAACGTGGCGTCTTGAATGCCCTGTTGAGTACCCTGGGTATACGTTTTAAATGCTCCTTGCAACGGCATCGCACGTTGAACAGCAGCGGCGTACACAATGCCCGAATGAGATGGAGTTGAATTCACATCCTTCTCACGCCAGCGCAAATATTTGTCGCGTGCTTAATGCTGAATGTTTTACTTACAGCAAGACCTCGATATATGGCGTTCTTTGTAGAGTGGTAACAAGCCAGTGTCGTGTTAAATCGGTCTCAAGTTGAATGTAAAAATATGGTCAGATTCAAAGTGTGGTTGAACATGGTGATGGCACAGAAAGGGCACCAACAGTTACACTCACCTTTTTAACGTGGCTTTCACAAGTTCCTGAACTCATTCAAACATTTCACACTTTAACACATAGACGCTCCATTGTACAACTAAGTTGCATTTGGCTTTAAAGATATAATAATATTAATATAAACAAATAAGCCAGTGTGCTTATATCACAATTCAGCTATATTTTCCGGTGGTCAAATCATACAATCAGCATGTGCGGATGGGCAAAAATAAGGTTGTATGGCACGTGTGTAGACGTTGTGACGTCACATGGCATCTATGATGTCATCGTGTGTGTACATGTGTATGCAATGCGCAACCCTTGTCTTCAGGTCTGTCTCCTTTCTCCTGCTTACCTCCCCTCTATTGCTCTAATAAATACACATGTCGCTTTTAGTTCTCTCATCACTATCTCTTATTTATGTCTCAGTGGGCCATATCTCCTGCAAGATCCTTCATCGGCCAGATGTGGCCCGCAGGCCATCAGTTGAAGAGCTTTGCTGTAGGTCACACAGAGAGTATTCCATTAATCAGGACATGCGGCTGCTTCTTGACTCTGCATATATGTTGCATATATAGAGCAGATATTCCCACCTCTTGCAAGACATCTGACTCGTGTGTAAGAGTAGGCCTAGAAAAACCCTGTACAGGGGCTCTCCAGAGCTCTCTGCAGTGTAGATCCTGCCACCAACAGTAGCCTGAGCAAGGTATTTCAGGGCTGCACCTTTATCTGTCACAATTCTGAAGACTGCCTAATGAAAATGGGGACTGGCCAGCTTTCACGTGAGCTTGAGAACATTTAAACTGCCCTTGATTGTATTATAATGCGCCTATTTTATTATTTGACAGATATAAAAGCAGACATTCGACAATCAATTTGCTCTGATTGCACCACGGTTTGAAGTCCATTCGAGCTTAAGTTGTGATTTTTGTTCTAGATAACCACAAACGATTGAGAGGTTGCTGAAAAGCCGGTGGGATGGCAGTGGCAACATCTGGCAACTTCTGTGTGAAGTGACGTCAAAGGTGTGTGAAAATCAGTCTGGTCCTTCCCAAAGAGGCGACTGACTCATTGGTTGTGTGTGTTTGGGACAGCACTGTGTAATTAGGGGAATTACTTAAAGGCGGATTTCTTTTTAAAAAAATCGGACATGTGAATATCTACACAAAATGACAGTTACACTCTGCGCAAATACCGTCAGCGCCACGAACGCCAGCATGTTTGTGAGTACATCATTCTATTCTACCCTTGCGTTTGGCATGATGTTCAGGAGATAAATGACGATGTCGAGGTCTGCTAGCCATTGGGCTTCGAGACTGTCGCCTTCTCTTGACCCACCTGCTTTACGCGTTGTGCCACGTTGCCTTAAACGCAACTGATGGCGTCATCGAGGCGAAATGGACTTGTGCAACGGGGAAAAAAGGTGAGAGCGTTGACGGGGAAACTCACATTCATCTGCAGTTTCCTGTGCCACTGCCCAACGAGCTGGAAGCCGGAGTTCAGGGCGTTGCTCGCCTGGTACTGGTACACGTTGTACCGTCCGGGGGCATCTCCGTTATCGTTGAACGTCACCGGCTTGCCGGTGCTGCCTGGGGTACAAAATTAAATTACAACTTGAATGTATGCGCAAACATCTCAAGGTCCCTTGCAGCAACGGTTGCGATAATAATTAACTCAAGAGAGACGAGAGAGATGGATGGGGGTGTACAATTCAAAAAAAGACACGTACAAACAATTACAATTGTAGGCAGTCAATCGTAAGCGGAAGGTGAAAATTTAGGTTATGATCGAGGTCTCAAACAGCGGGAGAGTCAGTGATGTAAAATCACGTGATGGAGATAATTACAGACACAGAACCAGCAGTTGTAAATTAGAGACCCGCACACCGATTAGGTCTTAGCTCAGCAACTCACGGACAATCACCGAGACGAGGAATGTTTGAACATTCAGACATGGCAGACAGTATGTGTGTTTGTAATATTCCTTATATTTATTGTAGCATTCACTTGAAGTTTCTCCCCAAATGGCTGAAATTACATTACCATCATTATCCTTAATGAAAATGTAACAAATTGCTTTGTAAAATTACGCTTTGCACAACATTGTCAGAGACAGCCTTATATAATAGTGGGCCCATAAGAAATATTAATAAGAGTTAGAAATTGCAAAAGAAATGACACAGAAAAAATAAGTAAAAAAAAACAGCTTAAATATGCTCATGACCAAGTGCCAAGAATATTGGGAGTGAGGTAGTAATGCCAATGGGCAACAGCTGATGTATATGAAAACAGAACAGTCCTTTGGTCTTGTTTGGCAGAGAAACTGGAATGTTGGCATCAAGATTTAGGCCTTGGATCAGTTGAATTCACATTAATATGAGATATGAAATAACAACTGTGGCCAGGCCTTCAACATTGCTGCATCCCATCAGTTTGCACAGCGAAATATGGGACGTGTGTATTTAGCATCAATATTGAACAATTATCACGAGTCTATATTTACGTAGAATGTTTTATTGCATTAAAAGATCGTTAAAATGGTGATGGATTGCGGAGGCCTTCATCTACCAGTAGAGAGATCATGGCGTTCCTCTGCTGACCCGCCCTTACTGGACATCTGTGTTAAAGAGCTTCATAGCTCATCAGATTCATCCTCGAGGATAAATCATTATTCTCATAATTATTCTCATAATGATTTATACTGCTATGCTTGAACTGCTTCTCAAGACTTTTAAAGACGATCCTTCTTGGTTGGTGGACCTCTAACCAATATATATTTGTTTCATGGTTTAAATGTTGAACGTTGTTTTAATGTTTTAACGTATTGCTTTCTTGAACAGGGGCTTTATATTAGTATTTAGTTAAATGGCAGGAGCAAGGATATATGTTGTAGGTAAGACACTCCAATGCCCCCACCTCCCAAGCGAGATGATGTACAATCGAGTTGAACAGCCATTATCACTGCATCATCCCCTAATTTATTTTAATCATAACGCTAATCATAATAATCGCTTGTTTTTATTTGATCGCACATCAGGAAAGAATAAATTAGATCACACATTAAATGTAGGAAAATACATAACTGACCCCAGATGAAACCAGCCCACTCACAAAATGAAGACGCAATTTGAAGACAATTAAAAACATCCTTAGAAATGTCGAAATTAGTCTTTTTTTAACAATGATCAACGCATTGCGCCTCCATCCCCAGCTCCAAACGACTCTTAGAGACAGCCAGCGAAAGCCAGCCGCTCAGCACACGCGCGCACAAGTGCGAGCCGCAATGTTTTGCTGGGGGTAATAAACCAATGGAAGTGTCGAGTTGCAGTTTAAGCATCGAAGTTCGCCTCGCAGATACTCGTCGGAGCAGCGCCACGGTGGCTCAAAGAGCTACGAGTCCTGTCCCCGCTCCTGATAGCATCTCACCACTCAAGCTGAGCTACGATGCTGGGTGCTGTGCGAACACGTGGGGGGGGGGGGGGTGAAGGTTGCACGCCGCACGCCGCACGCATTCAGGCTGAACGATGCACTCCGCCACAGCACCAATTGTAGGGGGGAACACCTCGAGTCAGAACGTTTAGGACAATGCACGAGCAGATCTCAGGGGTATTGGAGTCGACTGTGCAACAGATGTGGCGCCTAACGGAAGGAGGAGGAGGAGGTGGTGGAGTGAATTGTCAATCCGCTGCCGGATGAAAGCCTTCCCCATGCCGTGTCAATCGCAGCGGGTTGTTTGGCCTTGCTGGTTCAGTGTGGACTGGTGAAAGGAGGAACCCCAGGACCAATTCAGAGATGATTTACCATTGGTGTTAGCCATGGATGGGAATCGAACACAGGTGAGCAGGTTCACGGCACGGTGTGCCAAACACTGTGCCATTGCTCCTCCCCGATCGTGCAGGTGTGGCGTCACAAAGAGGAGACGACGCGTGGTGGTGATTCACTTGGTATGATTCAAGATGAAGATTCAATTCTAGAATCCATTCCCTTTTGTCTCCATTGGTGGCTGTCTCATTTGTATTGCCCGTCGTTTACGTTCGCTTCAGATTGTTCTCTCGCGAGCGTTAATGATCTTGGAGATAACGTTTGCATGTAATTAGTAAATGATACATGCTTATGCTGTATGCGCAATGCGATCCATGCGTCGTGAACCATTTGAAACAATATTAATCGATTACTCGTTCCAAAGCATATAATTTAACAACATTTGCCTGTGGTGACTTCTCAAAATCTGCTTTAGTGTGCAGGTTTTCCCCGTTATGGCCTACAACCCTCAGATGTGTTGTTCAGGTCGCAGCGTGTGGTGTCGAACACGCACATTGTACAGCACACGTGGTACAACCCAAACATACATCAGAGAGATGACATTTACTGGTAGGAACCTCCTGGTTACACCAGCCCACAGGGGATTATTGTGTCCGTCCGTCCGTCGTGCAGGGAGGGGCTGGGTGGGGAGGGAGGGGCTGGGTGTGGAGGGGTGGGTGGGGAGGGGCTGGGTGGGGAGGGTGGGGCTGGGATGGGTGGGGCTGGGTGGGGAGGGGAGGGGCTGGTCACCCCGTGGTGCCCTTATTAAACTCAACGTTTAACATACTCACGCCGTCTTGTGCCCGCCCTCACAGTCGGGCATATTTGCGGAATACACCACGCCGCCGTTGACCCTGGCCATTGACTGAGCAACCCAACGTTCCTACCAGCTCCCTCCGCAGGAATGTGTTTTATCACGAATAACGTTTAGTGATTTTTTTTGTAAAGTAATTGGAGACTAGATTCAGATTGACAGCTGGCCTGATTTGAAAACATGGTTAAATCTCACGACTCTAAAGTGTTGGCTAAGTGCCCGGACATAGGTATTCCTCCCTTCCTAGTTGCTTTTGAGATCAATTAAACATCTGTACTTATTATGAAAAATAATAATAAGTGTTTACCCTTTCTGAAAGAAAAAAACACTGGTGTAAAAATGTTTAAACACCAAATAGATACCTTTTGCAAAGAATCAAGTCTGCATTAACCACACGTAAATCTTGACTTAAAGCTTTCGTGACTCCAGGAATTCATATTCTTGGGTCTATCGAGTAAATTCGCGTAGATTGGTAACTGCTCAAAATTAATGCTCTACGAGGTAATTCTTGTCCCGTCAGCAACAATGCACCCCACGTTAAACATTGCGTGGGGGACATTGTTGTGATCGGAGGTGCAATGTTTTGCAAAAAAAACCTTCCCTGTTGACTCCAGAGGTCCCGTGAGGCTCTTTGATGAAGAGCGAGAGCATTAACCCAATAGCCCTGGACAAAACCCCAATATATCTCTCTAAAATCTCTTTCCTGTCCAAGTTCGCCCCCCTGTGTGGATAATTAGAAAATTAATGTATTATCCCTTTGGGGGCTGCACATCTCTGCAAATGATTTGCACAAATCTCCGTGTAGAGCTGGACAAGGTTTCATCTAAATAATGTACAAAACAGAAATAAATAACTTTACAATGTTTGTCTTGCTCGATGAGCACTGGCGAAATTATAACACGGGTTGATATATGTGCACGGAATCAATTGCTACGGCTTATTGTCAGCTACTGTCTGCCCGCATGAAGCTTGCAACTTCACACGCGGGTAACGCGGGCACAGGTAATCAATTATTACAGCTATTGCCAACCGCTGTCGTCCTTCACGAAAAAAAAAACCCAGCGACTACAGCGCACACGAGATGTGAAGGCTGCGTCTAATAAATGATTACAGCTCATTCCTAACGACTTGCCCTGCTGCATAAAGGATGCCACTGCATAGCCCGCCCGCACGCCCGCCCAGGTGCCAGATTAATCAATTATTACAGTTCATTGTCACCTGCCGTCCTTCTTCATATAAACCGCGAGCACATACGCCGGAGCAGTGAAGGTGAGTGTGTAATAAATTTGCAGGGCCTATTTAAAAGCGGCCGTCTCCGGCGGACACTAACAGCGCGCACAAAAGACAGAGAGAGCTGCCACGTGACGACGCCATACCGATGAGCAGTGCAAGTGCCGTTTGTGAGTGCCTATTTATGGCCAGCGAAGCGCATCAGGCGATGTGGTGGGGCCAGTACCTTGGATACCTGTCCACCCACAGCTCTCCCCAATACCGATGCACACTTGCAAATATCGTCTGCCCGCCTATAACGCGTGTTTTCAGAACGCGACTTGGATGTATTAGCCATCGCATCTGCCCTTCCATTGAAGGAACGAAACAGGCTGGACTTCTCCACAAATCTGGCTGTCGCCTGATGAAGCTCGTTGTAATTAATGGCGAAACGTCGGACTCGGATTGTAAATGTTGTGGCTTGGCTCTGCAACACACCGATTTTGCTGTACTAGTAACGCATTGGCATGATCTGCTTACGTGAGCAACCTTACAAATTGGCTGTGTCGGGTGGTGGCGGGTTTTACGACACATATTTCTGCAATCTAACCCCAAAAAACTGTATTATAGATGATATTGGTCGCGAAAGCCTACGCGTTAAACTTAATGTATTCGGGAACACATTTTTTTTACAATGCAGATGCGAATTGGCTATAACGCGATTGAGTGAACAGAACTACATAAGAATAGGCGGTTGCACGGCTGC